TTTTTTTTTTTTTTTTGATTATTTTTTATTTTTTTGGTTATTTTTTATTTTTTTTTTGTGTTTTTTTTAATTTATCATAAAAATTTCTTCAAGTGCACCAACACACGGCTAACGTAGTTCAGCAGTGAAATTCGCAAGCATTTGTATGTACAAATAAAGAAGTATTTATTTTCAGCGTTGCCTTGCCGAACGCATTTCCCTTGGGAGGCGAAAACAATATCTAAAGAAATTATTGATGGAATTTCGATATTTTCGTGTAAGCACGCCTAACCACTTACGCATATTAATACAAGCTAACATACATACATGCATATAAGTGGATAAGAAGATAACTGCTTTTGAATGTGATATATAAATATATATATATATATATGTATATGTAGGCTAAAGCAGAGAAGCAATGCGTCAATAAATTCATATACGCTTGACATGTTATTAGGCGAAGAGGCGTGCCACATACTATGCAGTCAGCAAAGGTGGCTGCCTCGACGCAATATAGTACAATATTTTGGATTTTTTTGCATCATTTGACGCAAGCAAAAGAAGGAAGCAGAAGTAACAGAATGCCAAAAAGAGGGTTATAAGTATGTAAAAAACTTGAGATTATATATATATATATACAATGGCTAAAGGCCCTTTCCTGAATTTATTTGGGTGCTAAGCTTGGTCTTTTATTCTCAGTTATGTATCCATATTTTTTTTTTTGCCTTGCGAGATTTTGGCTTGCTAAGATAGAATCATTAGATTGGCTGTTGGTGTGTATAAATTCACGTGCTCAGCGATGCTAAGTGGTAATATCAATCATTGTTAATGCAGTGTAAAAATTGTGCTTCGAGGTGAGTAAAGTTTGGAGTAGCATACATTTAGGCGCATACAAGGAAATGCAAATGCTTTAACAAAAGAATACTTAATACATACGTATGCGTTGAATAAGCACGTGTGTGTGTAGAAAAAGTACAAAAACATACTAACACACACAAATATATTTATTATTTCTTCGTTGGCCTTTTTTACGCCTTGGAAATTCTTTTGCCATTTTTTTGAATTTTTTTATTCTTGTGTTTCCTTCCTCTTTTCCCCCATTTCTTATATAAGAAACAATTTATAAAAATTATTCACGCAATAAATTGTAACGGACTCATAAATAAATACCGGAAGTGTAGCTGTATAGCCGCAGGCATGCTGAGCTGCTGAGCTGAGTTAAGCTGAGCGCATGCCTTTGCCCTAAATTAGTAACATTGGGTATATATGTACGTGTATGGAATAGTGGGCGCTATGAGACGTTAACTCCACACTGAGCGTTTCCAGATTTGCACATCATATTTTATTTTAATGATAATTTGTGGGTTCGCGTGCATTTTGATACATACTTTTTGGTAAGTTGAAAATGTTAGGGCGTGCCTTATATTTACGTTTATATGACTATAATTTAAAGTCACTTTAATTTATTTTTTATTTCATTATTCTTTAAATAAAAAAGTTATAGAAAAAAAATTTTTTTTTGTTTATTTTATTTATTCTATGTGATTTTATTTATGTTGTATTAATTTGTTTTGTTTTATAATCTTTTAATTTTCTTTGTTATATATATTAAATTTGATGCAGTACCCGATAGTGGAAGCAGAGGACCACCTCCACTGCGTTGGAAGGATCAGGTGGAGAAGCCTGACAGCGAAAAGAGCACAGCACATATTGCTATAATCCCGTAAGCGGTGCCAATGCCAATAAAGAAGACGAAAAGTTGTATTTAATATTGTTTCATTTACATATTTTAATTTTATTAGCTTATTTTATGTATTTGTATTTTATTTTTATTTTTTTTTCATTATCTTTTATTTTAATTCCATTAATTACATCCAGTTAAAGATTAAATTTCATTTGTTTCATTTGTTTATTTTACTTTATATATTTTTTTTATTTTATTTTATTTTATTTTATTTTATTTTACTTTATTTTATTTTATTTTATTTGATTTTATTATATTTTATTTTATTTTATTTTATTTTGTTTTATGTTGTATATATTATATACATTTCTTATTTTTTTAAATAATAATAATAATAATTTGTTGTTCTGATACATTTTTTTTTTCGTTCTGGTTGTTAACACTTGCTGTTCACATAAATGTGTTTATAATTATATCGCCAGCGGGGTTTGCCTACATTTTGGGGTAGCACACTCTTTGGCGTTGAAGCATGAATTGTGATAATCGTTTGAGAAACACCCCAAAAGAGCATGTTTTATATAAATTGTAGAAAAAGAAGGCACATGAAATATGTTTCCATACACAATTTATTCAAGCAGAACACTTTGTATTACAAGGCTTTATGGCTATAAGCGATTCTTGTGAACAAAATGAGCCGCTTTTGTTTTTTGGCCCAACTTTTTTTTATTTCTTTTCTTTTCAGGTTTGCCTTCTTTACTACCCTCATTAATTTCGTTTCTTTCACCGCTTAAATATAATGATTATAGTTCACGCATTAACTTGAAAGATCACAAACACACACACACACTCAAAGCTTTTATTTTCGCTCCCAACGCACATGTACAGCTATATGTATTCACAGTGCCGCATTATTCTTGCGCTCGCCAAGTACATACATAAATAACACGCTACTCAATTATTCTTCGATGGCTCGACACTCAAATAGTTAATTGCAATTTGGGTCAATTGCTGCGCTGTTGATGGCGGATTTTCCTCCATTTTATACTTATCGAACGCGTGTATTTTTTAACATTTTCAGCATTTTACTTCCTTTTTCCGCTGGCATGCGCTGTTGTTCTTTTACACTGCGTGGCCATTTCGTGCTTTAAATCAATATTTTTATATAGTTGAAGCACTAGTGGACCGAGAGTCCTCTGATATCACTCTACTGCAAATTCTGTTCCGCTTATTTTTCACCTTTTTCTCTCGATCCGCAACACTTTATTGACACAGGTGCACAAGCGGTGAGCCTTTCCCCTTGGTTTTTTTATTGTATTTTTTTTAGTTCTCCCAACTGCCCAACAACCCAAATGGGAACCGTTAAAGAGAGAGAAAAAACCACTTTTGGCATATTTATGCGTTTTCCAAGCGAAAATTTATGCACTTCATGCGCCATCTGGCGTTCAAAAAACAGCAAAAACTTTTGTGAGAGAATTGAGTGAAATACAGAAGAAAATAACAAATTCCATTTTCCATTTTCTGCCCATTTCGAGGCAGAAAGATATAAATTCACACGAATTTTTTATGGTGAAAAGTGGGTCAGTAGTTGAAGCGGAGTGATAGAAAGCGCCAACGCTGGTGGGCTTGGAGTTGATGCTGTTTGGCGAAGCCGGAATTGTTGCATTGAGCTCCTAGTTTTAGCAGAAGTATTTATCACATTGAAGAAGAAAAGCTTTGGGATGCGAAAATTGACAACAAAAAGTTGATCTCTTGGGAGAAGGTGTATTTAAAGTTAAAGTCGGGTAAAGCTAAAAGGTCGGATATTAAAAGAATTAAGAATGATTTGCGAAGAATTTAAGTTCATATAATTTTTGGAAAACTGTATTGACAAGCAATCGGCTGGAAAATATTTCATCTAATTTTTTTTTTGTATTACAGTACAATAATATTCAAGAAAGTATTGAAGCTCAGAAGAAATGTTTGCTTCGGTGATTTCGGTAGAATTCGAGAACATTTTGGTTACAAAAGTTGAGAAAATGTTCAATTGGGAAAATATTATTTATTTTATGAGAAAAATTTTTTCCAATAAATTGTTTAGTTAAGATTCATATTGAAATTGATATCCATAAGTAAATTAAAGGAGAAAAAATAAGAATTTATTTTATCTTAATTTTCATTTTATTTTATCGCATTAATTTCCACTTACCTTGCCACTTAACACTCCACGCGCTGCTGAAATTTCACTTGGCGGCACTGTACCCGATTCCGTGCCTAAAGTTTTGATAACATTCGAGAGACCGGATGGCACCGAGAGCCCGTGTGAGTTCTCAGCTCTAATAAGAAAGACATATGAAGTGGCTGGTTTCAAGCCAGAAATCTGCAAATAATTAAAAAGAAATCTTAAATAGGAAACTATTTGGAAGGTTTTTTTTTTCAATATATTGCTTTCATTTAGGTTAGGTGAGCTAGGGTTAAGTGTTTACAGGGTGTGAGCCCACTTGGGCTTATTGTGATAACACTGAGGATTATAATAGCCACCACTGGCTAATTGTTGGAGTTTCTAAAAGTTTTCGACGCTACAAATGTTGACCTACGTCTCCTGTCTTAATATTTCTCTCTTCTCTATCATTAATTGATGATATTTTCTGCTTTGCTGCATACCTGACCAATACGGGATTTCCATAGGAAACTTAGCATTTGTGCTGAAAACTTACAAGTAGAGTGCGATATGCCTAGACTATTTTATGATAAAAAAAGTAAGATAGATGTGCCCTTCCGTGCAGTCATTTCGTTATTCGGTATGTTACTATCCAGGAGCGCCTACTAATTTCAGAGAGAACTACAATGCCATAATTTTAAGTGATCTGCGGCAACACTCTACCGATTTTGATTCTATTTGCTGCTGATACTCTCTCTTAATATTGGCCCTTTCTTTAAGAATTACAATTTGCTGAGTGCGCATCATGAAATCTATACAACTTACAGTCTCACATATGATCTGTATAGTGGTCCAGTAGACGATGGATTTGTTGATACTAAGTTCATTTCAATCCAAGTCCAAAACTATACTGCTTACCGGAGCTTATTTGGAATGACCCTCTTATAATCCGTCGTAAAGTAAGGCAGTGAGACTCAGTGATAATCTGTCCGTTCCTGAGAGCACTGGTGATAATACCTTGGGTAGCATATATTTACTAGTGAAGAGGGAGAGCTTTCATTAGTGCATTGGTCAGCTTCATTAGTCCACTTTTCTATACCCTTTCATTTTATTTATTTTTTATTTTAATTTGCCTTATTTTATTTCTTTTTATTACATACCGCTAAGGAGTAAGTTTCATTTATTAGCGACAGCCACTTTTATTGTATTTTATTTCATTTCATTTCTTTTCATTTTAATTTATTTTATTTATTATTTTTTTTTGAGGACAACAACGCGAATTAAACGTGAAAACTCGAAATTTTTTGATGCAAAAAAAAAGAAATGCAAAAAGTAAAGTAATAAAAAAAAATATGGCATCCTTTTACTTATAGCATTGACAGGTAAAATTTTAGAAAGTACTACAAAGCAAGAGAGCAAAAAAAACCTTGCATATATTTTTAAAATTACTTGAAGAAATAACGGTGCTCATATATGTGATTTGTCTTCAACTACTTATTTACGAACTTTTCAAAGTCCACAGGACACCTGGCGCAGCAAAACGTTTTTCTTTGTCGTTCTCATTTTTCTCAACTACACTCATATATCTAACTGTAAATTCTACTTATGCATATGAGACAATACGGATACCTTTAAAATGCCGCAACATCAAAATTGTTGCATACTATTAGTATACTACTTACCGTTATTTGCTGATCAGGCACACGATGTGCGGCAATCACCCAACCTGTTTGTAGATCCGAACTAAAGTACTCCACGGTGTAACTGTGAAATGTAGAAAGATAAAGAGAGTTAGAAGCAAAAAATATACTAAGAATATTTGTATGTATTTTTCCAGCGGAGGATGTGATAAAATGTGAAAAAAAGGAAAAAATGAGATATGTAAAATGAGTTGACCGGAGAAGAGATATTGAGCATAACGAACGCTAGTTGCCTATTGGAGCATATACTTGCGCCTGCTACTAATATGTATCTATGTTTGCACTTTAATATATCATTAAAATTTGCATTTGATATCTAAATTAAGCAGACAATATTTGCAGGGGCGAAAATAATGAAGGAAAACCGATACATATACTTTTTTACATATGCTTAGATGCATTTGAAGGGGAAACAATAAGTGAAAAAGTGCAAAATAGAGGTTAGAAAGAAATTTCACTAGCATAAAAAGAGCTACAATTTAGTGGAAAATAAAAGGACGCGAAAAAATTTTTCATAACCCGTTGAAGAGAGTAGTCTACATAGGACATTGCCTCAAAAGTCTTTCATGTAACTGGAACATGATTACTGATACTTAGCAGAAACAGGAACTCTTAATCAAATATAGCGTTATGGATGTCGGTTCTAAGATGATTTCTAACATCAGAAGGACAGTTTGGTGATGGTGGCTACAGACACATTAGAATATCCGGAAGTTAAATGGTATGCAAAGAGCAGCAGAGATTACAGGAGCCATTAGGTAATGACTCATAGAAGCGTTAGTCAAGTCATGTCCCAAGACTACACTTTGAGACTTACGGAGTGTGATTGCCGGAGATGAAAATCTTTTGGACGTAGCGTTATACTATATATTCCCAAAGTTAGATTTCATTCCATTGATTTTGAAGTACACATACCAGGTTTTGTGAAAGATGTACTCCGGAGCGTGGGCGGTGGTATACGCCGAAGATCTCGAAATCTCAATACCTTCGCGTCTATCAAAGCTAGCTGAGGGGAAAAACAAATTGTAGAAAACATCTGTAGCCCAGCTAACGAATAAGTACGGGATGTTATAAAAATCAAGTATTCAGTATACACGGAAAAGTAGTAGACACTATTGAGCTCAAAGTCGCCTATGATAAAAGCAAGCGTTTTCAATAATTGCAGGAAGAATCTAAGCTCACTAGAAGCTCAATTCGCCCTCTCGATCAACTGGGTTCCATAGAAATAGTTTGGATAAATTATAGGAGAGTTAGTTAAGGAAGGGAGTATCTCTTGAAGCGGAAATTATATAGTTATTTTTAGGAGAACTTAGTATACCTAAAGTAACCAGAAGGGAACTAGTTAAAAGTGACACATTCTTCCAAATAGAGAAATAGTTATGAAGCACAAAATTAGTATAGACAAAGCAACTAAAAATGGAGTAGTTGAAAACTGATTCAAATTTTTTGAGCTAAAATAATTTTCAACTCAAGACAACGAATCAATAGGGCTGTTGCACTCTCGACGTGTTTAGTTGTCATTAAAGCGGGAAACAGGAAAACCAGCGATAAAGGACTTGCTACTCCATTTGCTAAATTAATATGCTACCTTACGAGTCAAATGGACATTTTGTAATTGTTATAACCGCAAATTATTCCCCGAATTAGTTTTCGGGGCATATTGCGGGAGTGACGGTCCTTGGCCGAATAAAAATCCTGGCCTATCCAGTATAAAGAACGGGCTGTTGCTGGAGCTATTGGATTTCAGTCGTCTCTTATTAATTATTGAGGCCCAAACCCGCAGTGGACAGTTGGACATTACCTATATCAACCGTGACTATTTAGGAACAAATCGAAAAAAATATCTATACATTGCTGGCAAATTGCCAAAGTAAATGTTTCTCTTAATAAGAGAAAAAAATTTTAAAAAGTTTTGTAGAACTGTACAAAACTGATTCTCTGTCTAGTCCTAAAACAACTGAAATCGGAGCTGTTCATACCTTTTTATTTAAACATGAAAATAACTGTAAAATGTATTATTATAAAAATCTAATTTTTTCAGTCGTCCTAAAATCACTAGAAACGGACTAGTTCAAAAGTGGATCATACTTCTGCTCTCAAAAAATAGTAAAGTCCTACACAGGCTTATACATACAAATGTATGTTAATTTTAAACACTTTTTGCTATGCCAAATATGCATAACTGACACACATTTACCTTGAGGCGAATTTCATATGCAAAAATGCCCATTTTGGGGGTAATTTAAATGCAAACGAGAGGATCTGAAGACAAAAGAAGGCCAAAAAAAAATGCACTAATAATAATAATAAGCGTATGAAAAGCAAGTATAACGGTAAGAGAAGATTCTGGAATGGTGAAAGAAACTAACAGGCATTGCATGTACATATATACACACATAAATTGCTCTGGAAACTTTCAATGTATTTTTTTCTTCATAAAATCTAACCTCAAATTATGTATAAAGAAAAGCATTCAATGTTGCTTATAAAAATCGGTTTCAAATTCGGAATGTGCATTTTACTGTTGCAGCTGCAGGACTGGGCGTGTTTATCAAATCAGAATAATATTTTCTAACAACTACAACGACAACAATAGCTTTATCCGCAACAATAACTGTCTGCAATAGGAATGCCGATAAGCGGAGGCATGGAGAATGCCACACCAGGCATTTAACAGAAATACAAAGCCAGAAGGAGAGCAACTTTGAAAGTATAGAGAAGGCGTCGGCAACAAAAGTCAGCAAACCGTTTGGCATGCGTGTGTAAATACATACATATGTGTGTGTGTGTGTGGCTGCGCCACTTTAGAAAGCCGAAAAATTTTAATGATGCCCGAAAAAGTCGAAACGGAGTAAAAGACGAATTAAATGCTTGCCACATGCAACTTTCAATCCAACAGTCAATCGAAGGCAGTTGTTGTAAAATGCAGAAAAAGCCGAAATTTTTCAACTCCTCAGCGTTTGCTGAGCGTGTTTTGCGCTGCTAAGCAGGCATGGCGTGTGCCATTTTATACATTTGATTATGCTAATTTGCACAAATCGAAATCGCCAACACATAAGCGCTGTGAGCGCAAGGCACAGCAAAGGGGGCGGAAATGATATGCTTGCAACAAATGATACGAATGCTATAGAAATGTGCTACAAAAATGCCATAACACTCCCGAAATGTGCGCTTGACCGCCAAAACAATGGCAGCGCGCGCGCTCACGGCCAGCAGCCGCGCCACAGCCTGGCAGCAGCATTGACCGCGAAATGGCGGAAAAAATGCATTCGCGTTGCACTCGCATGCCGCATGCAACAATGCCTGCTCGCCACAAAGCCACTTGTGGTTGCATGTGAGCCATGAAGAAAACAACAATAAGAAAAACGCCACTAAGCGTTTAGCTGCACTGTTGGCGTGTCGAAACGCCGAGCCGCGCCAAGCAACGCTGCCACTCTAATCAGCGTGCAGTTAGAGCTGCAACAGAGCAACCGTTAAATGGCCCAAAGCTGCTGTTGCCACGAATAAAACGGTATTTTTGTTGTTTTTTTTTTAGTTTTAATTTTTTTAAGCTATTTTTTCATGGTTGCCACCACAAAGTGTTTTGTGTTGCAAGTTAGTTAACTATGTGTTGAGGGAGCAAAAGGAAAAGGCATTTCGATGTAACTAGGAGCATTAAAAAAACACCGTTAAGGCCTTACCGCAAACAATGGCCCTGCTGCTGCTGCACTGGCATTCATGCAACAACACACTTGCCACATATGCTAAAAGTCTTTACCAAATGTTGTTGTTGTTGTTTGTGCTTCTCACTGCTTGCGCGCGATAGATTCACTTAACCGTTTTCAAACTACAATAAAATTTGGTGTATAAAACAGAAGAACTGCGCCCTCGCTTCGGTTTTTTTTTTTTTTTTGGCGGTCATGCAAAATTCGTTGCAGTTGAAAGGCTTCGCGTTTGTTGCCTCTTAGCAAGCGATTGTAGTCAGATTTTTTTTTTTTTTTCGCAATCACTATTTATCATTTAGTTCTACTGCACTAAACTTTTACATTGTTTTAAAGGAGAAATTTAAGATTTTTTTCGGACGCCCGAGAATTTAGCTCTGAGTGACAGGACAAAACTCCGCCAGAGTTCTTTCTTTATATACGTCGCCTTTAAGACCATCAACGCCATTTTTCCACAATACAACTGAATTGCTTGAAGTTTCTGGATAGAAAGTGCTAAGGACTTATATTTGGACTGCATGAAAACTGAACACGAGACTTAGCCTGCCTTTCTCTGCCTTTTACAGCTCTCCATAGAATTTTTTACGAGAAAGAACCCAGCTAAATTTAAAGTTTGATGTACAAGTTTGCTGACGTCCAGAGATCTCAGGCTAATGGCTTAATACATTTTTCTCCCTTTTACAAGGAAATGTACCCGTAGTTTGGCAACCTGGTCATAGGGATGAGCTGACCGGAGAGGGAACAATCATAACCCCGAGAAACTGTGCACATGATGTAGGATACCTTTTTCCTCGGCTATGCATTTCCTTAGTCCAGCTTTCACCAGAAGAGCTAACAGCAGTAGACAGAGTAAAACCACAGGTGATTGATCGAAGTGAAAACTAAGTTTTTACTCCTTTTAAACATGACCTGCATGAGTATAACAATCGGCTTGCTAACCGGACCTTCAGTTGTGGGGACTCATGGTAGAATAATGGGCTGTTTCTGTTTCTCAAACAACTTCACTGTCACTGCCCTGTTGTCAGTGCTTTCCGTTATTGATTTCTACAAACATCGTTAATCTGGTGAACTTCGTAACATACACCAAGTGGCTTGAGGCATACACTCGATGAAGTTCGCTATAAAGGGTTGTAATATACAAAATAATGTTAAACGTTTAAGCATTTAATAAATATAAAAATCCCACAGATATTTTTATTTAAAAATGGTATATTTTCTGAAGGGAAGAGGGTAGCACGGAATAGACGAAACGCCTTTTATGGCAGATAGCTATGTAGCCGACTTCGAAGAGAGAATTACCACCTTTAAATTATTGTATCATGCTTGGCTGTACCATATTGAGAGAGAGAGAGAGAGAGAGAGAGTATGCTAATGATTGACTGGCAGTGGTGTGCAGCAGCATAAATGTGTATGTGATGCCCATTGGCTCGTACCGTCGGCATCCCAAGTTCAAATTCAATTTTCGAACGAAGGTGGCTAGAAAAAGAAGTCAAATGAAGAAATGTGGTGGTTTATGAAGCAGCTGTAACTTTACCGTCCAATACTGTTGTTGTAATTTTTCATTATTTCCAAAAATATATAAAATTTCATAATATTTGTTGGTGTGGAATACTGGCGAATTTCGGCAACAACCACGTCTTTTTTTCCACACTTTTCTGTACTCAAGGTGGAATATTATCAGGTGTACAACTTTGCTTCTGCCGTTTTCCGATAGGCGGCTGTACCGGCTGAGGCTGGTCGAAATACATAGATGATAATGCCTTTAAAGTGAGTGTGGACAGTGCCTAACGAAGTGAAGTGAAAGAACGTGTCGGGAGTGGTTTCAACGTTTTAAAAATGGTGATTTCGATGTCGAAGACAAACATGGTGGTGGAAGAGAAAAAACCTTGAAAGATGAACAACTAGAAGCATTGCTTGACGAAGATTCGTGCTAAACCCAAGAACAGCTTGCCGAATAGTTCGGAATGAGTAAGCAAGCCATTTCAAAACGTCTCAAGGCCACAATATCAAGAGCGACATGACAAAGTCATCCTCCAACACGACAATGCTCGGCCTCACGTCGCAAAAGTGGTCAAAAAGTACCTGGAAACGCTGAAATGGGAAGTCTTGCCCCACCCGCCGTATTCCCCAGATGTCGCCCCTTCTGACTTCCACCTATTCCGTTCGATGGCACACGGCCTGGCAGATCAACATTTTCAATCCTTCGAAGAATTGGAAAAATGGATTGCTTCATGGATAGCGTCAAAAGAGGACTCCTTTTTTCGAGCCGGGATACGAAAATTGCCGGAAAGATGGGAGAAAGTTGCCGCTAGCGAAGGACTTTAATTAATATAGCTGTAAGCACTTTTTCGAAATAAAGCTTGTAGTTTTGGAAAAAACGGCGGAAGAGGCATTAGGCAACAGAACTCTATCAAAGTTGATAGGTATGCTGGTTTCAGTGGAGACCTAAAGCCTTATTAAAATCGGCTGACATAGGTCCCATGCAACAGACCTTTCCATTTTTACCATTCTGCGAAACTTGGATTTGAAAATTTCAGGAATTTATGTGGAAAACTTGATCTTTCTCAATGACTAGCATAGTTACACTGAGCTCGTAGCAGCAGCCAAAAGATATGAGCAAAGGTCCACAAGGGTTCATATAACGAAATTTGGCGGTTTTCGACCCAGCTCCTTCTCCAATTTGTGGTCTGCGTCTTGAAGTCTTTCCTATAGATGATGAGCAGACGTGATGTTCTCCGAACCGCTGTCACTTCTACCATTTCTTTTTTGTTGCATATCGAAAAATATTCAATTCATACAAAACAAACCAGGCTTTTCGCTCACCAAAAACTTATACCAAAAATTGATATCATGGCCGCAAAAACAAACATGAAGAGCTTTGATTTTCATGTCAGAAAAACACTTGGAAGGCTTGACATTCCCAATTGAGGGGCGACCACAATTAATGTGACAAATTTATTTTCTATAATTTTGGTTTTAGAATACCACAGGTCATAGGTAAGCTGAGTCCTGAATGGCTAGCGTACATTTCAGCGCCAAAAAGGATATAAATCTTTATTGCTAATCAGTCGCCACGGTTTGAAGCACTTCATTTTCTATGCGATGCTGTAGAGAAGTATGGCTCAGCCAAAAAAAAAAAAAAAAATTCATAGAATTTTCAATCGAAGGAAGTCCTTCTTCGTGGCAAGTTGCAAATGAAAAGCACTCTAGAAATTAATTTCGAACACTTTTAATTTGAAAAAAACAATGCGAAATCAATTACAGCGCCAAAGGAAAAGCCAAAGCAATATTTCCACTTCATATTGCCAATTACTGACTGACTGACTGACTGACTGACTCGCCGTACCAGTATTTGCTTAACATATCCTTTTTGGCGAGCAAATATTAAATGAAGCCATAAAGTAATTTACAAAACCACTTCAAAGCAAAAAATTCTCGCTTATTGGCGAAATTGAGAAAAATTGCGCAAAACAAAAGCGCAGAAGTCAATCACCCAGCCATAAGAAGCATCACAGTCAACGTCAACTGGGCACACAAAGAGGGTACAAAGGGTTAAAGTGTCGGTTGGAGTGTTGGCAGGAGTTAGAATGATTGGCGAAAGCGTATAAAAGTAAAATAGTAATAAAGGAGAGAGTTAAGCAATTTGGCTAACAACGCAGACAAAGCAAATTGTTGCATAGAAATTTGTGGAAAATTGGAATTTTCTTCTTTTTTTTTGACGGTTTCGTAGTAACCAAAAAAGCAAACATAAATAGGAAAATATTTTTTTTGAATTTTTTTTTGATAGGAATTGTTGTTTTTTTCTCGAAAAAGCTAACGCTTCATACAAAACAAAAATAACAAAGCCTAAAGTGCGCTGTTTGAGGGCAAAATTTTTAATGAAACAAAAGCGCACAATTTTTCCTTTCTTTTTTTTTAAGGAAAGAAAATAAAATTTTTGAAATCACCAATCATGTATGCATCACTCACCCGATAATTGGACTGGTCGCTCCCGGCTTCTCTTGGCTGCGCGACCAACGCAAGCCGATGCTATGCTGTGTGACGTTCACCACCTTTGGTGTGCCGGGCGGTGCCGGATAAGCGCTGGGATCCACCGAGCGATGGAGCAGCGATGAACTACCCTTTTCCACCTGTGCCAAGATTGTTTTTGTAGTTGTTGTTGTTGTTTGTGGTTGTAAATGCGGCACCGATCATTACATCGGGCAATTTTCGCAAATGTTCGAAATGCGCAGGAAAGCAGTTTGGGTTGTTGTAGTTGGTGTTTTCATTGTAGTCAGTATTGCCGTTATTGGTTGATGCATCGCCGTTGTTGTTGTTGTTGTTGTTGTTGGTTGCGTTATGTAGAGTTGTCGATTACCAACGGCCATATGTCATCAACATCATCATCACCGACATCATCATCATTGTGGTTGTGGTTGTTGTTGTTGTTGTTGTGTGGTGCATATGCGAAAGTCCAAATATGAAAAAAAAAGAAGAAGAATGTGCAATAAAAAAGCAATGAAAAAATGTATTTTGTGTAAGGTAAGAAAAAAATGTTGATAGTTTTGGTTTATTCATATGTATATATGTATATTTACATTTATATATACATATATGTGTATATGTAGGTATGAGTATTGAGTATTATTGGTTTTACGCTTTTAGTTGCCCAAGTTTTGCGTTCTATTACTTTTATAATTTTTTTTCTAGATTTTTAAATATATTTTTTTGTTGCTTTTGCCAATATTCTTCTATCGAGTTGGTAATTTACCGTTGACTGACATGAATGATTGGCATGCTGACAGACAGTTCGTCGAGATTTTGAGCCACCGAAAAAGATTTGCATTTTTTTCTTCTTCTTAAACTTCAATAGCCGGAGGGGTAGATAAAAAACACACATATGTATGTATGCACCTATGTATGTATGTAGAGGTACATATATGTATGAATTTATGCCGGTATATGCTAAAAGAAAATCGTATTGAGTGGTTTACAGCAAAATTGTGGTTTGATTGATTTATATGATAGATTGGACAGGCTCTTGAAAGGCTTTAGAAAATTTAATTTCTGTTATTATTAATTGGAGGAATTCAATTCAGATATACTTGTGAGAGCGGCAAATTGTTTAACATACTTTTACTGAGAATTCAGGCGAAAACTGTAGAAAAACCTCATGGAGTGTTTAAAAAATACTTCAAATCAAAGAATTTAATAATCAAAATAATATACAGGTGTTGCCTCTTCTACTCCCGACATCCTTCTCCTCTACATTGATATATTTGCCATCGCTCTCGCTTGCTTAGTTCGCCTGCTGTCGTGTTGAGTAAACGTGCGTTCGTGGTGCTCGTCATATTGGTGCGCTAGAGTAGAGATATCGCATTTGAGGTGGTATATGAAGGTTTATTTGAAAGACAAAAGATCGCCACTGTTAACTTTTCTTAACATATTCTTATGCCTTTTATGGTTCTCGAAACCTATATAGCCTATATAAGAACGGAAATGGAAACACGAAGTCAAGAGCAGTGCGTAGCGATAAGATTTTCCGCCAAATTCGGCATGGTGATAGTTCCCCTGGTCCCGGAAGCCAAACGCCAAAGCTCACAATGGTTGTCTCGGCACGCCCGCCGCCCGAAAAAAAGCTCGCATGAGCAAGTCGATAGTGCAAGCGATGATTATTACCTTTTCTGATAGCCGTGGAATCGTTCACAAAGAATTTTTTCCACCGAGGCAAACCGTAAATCAATTCTACTATCGCCAAGTACTCGAAGGATTGCGAAAACGAGTCAACAGGATGCGCCCAGACTTCGCTCGTAACTGGATCCTTCATCACGACAACGCGCCGTGCCACACCGCCCTCAGCGTGCCCCAGTATTTGGTCTCTTAGGGGATTTGACACGTTCTTTTCGCCTAATGACAGCTAAAAAGCGGCTCTTAACCGTTATATCAAACAAGAATTTGCGAAAAAATTCAGTAAACCAACGAAGTGAGCATTAAAATGTTTATAAGTGATAAAAGAATTCCGAGAAGAAGAATAAGATGAAAAAGAATAAAAAGCGATTGGTGTCACACTAACTACCAGCAGAGCAGCAGTAAATCACATACGCTTTCGTATTCACATTTTCAAACGAGCGACAGCAACAACCATTACGAAGGTGTCGCCGCCGGAATAACTGTCATGACCCGTCATTGACATGGCATAACATAATTTGCATGTTTTATGCCATACTTACACGTTTCTTATCTGGGTAAAAAATGTCAACATTTTCGCACGCCATAAATTTTGGCAGGACATGAAAGTGGTGAGTAAATCAAAAAAAAAAAAAAAATAGTGGAAAATCATATTTTTGCTTACAAAACTATTATTTGGCTTTAAGGCACTCAAGTAGACATTTACATGCCGGCACATACACATACGCGCAGTAAAATGTACATTTGCAGACGACGACTGTCACATAAATTGCGTATTTTATTTGTGGCAACGACAAATGCACCATCCTACCTGCCCAACAACAAAAATCTAAATGAACAAAAAATCTATTGAAGCTGCAACGCACAAAAACAAGCAGCAAAAGCGTTGGCAGGCGACGCAATCATTGTCATTTGTATGTATATACATATATATATTTAAATGCATGTATGTGCTTAGTGTTATTTAAAGCAACTTTGTTGTTGCAGCAGCACGCATTTTTTTGCATCCAAAGCTGTTTTTCTCAAAACTCATCATTTGCTGTGAGTGCGAGTGCGTGAACAGGCAATTTAGAGAAGCGATAAAAATATTGAAAAAACGAAAAAAAAATAAATGTTTTTTAAACAAAATTATAGTAATTTGCGCTTACGCTTCCCACAATCGATCGACTCATACAGTTGAGCCGTCATAATTTACTAATAAAATTTGCATTTTTATTAACAGTCCAAAGGAAGTAGAAAAATATGTGGATAAAATGGTTGAAAACATCAAAAAAAAAAAAATAAGTTGCAGTGAACAACGTTTAAAGTTTTTTGAATGATTTTACAATTTTTTTAATTTACTTTTTTTTTTTGCATTTTGGTCTCATCCAACCCACAGTGCAGTGGTGCGCTTTGTCGCTTTAAATGACGGGTAATTGAGCAAAAATTTGTTTTCGATTTTTTAGAATTTCCCATCATCACTGCCAGAAGCCAGCTGCTACGTCAAATGCACTGCTATGCTAGATATGACGGTGTGTGTGTGTGTATGTGTGATGACTGCTATGCTATGGATAAGTTTTGTGTTGTAGCACAAGCACAATTTTCAACTCAATTTGCATAAAACAATTTAGTGCCCTTGTCGTGAGTCCTCTCGGGCATAGGAGAAGGCGATATTTATAATATATATGAATATAATACATACGAGTATGTGTGCATATATGTTTGTGCATGTACTATGAATATCTACACACATGCATACTGATGCCGTTTTTCTGTATTTACATACAAATATTTATACTTAGATCTACATAAAATTGCAGCCCACTAATTTATGCTTGGACATCAGCAGTCTCTAGAAGCCTCAAATAAAATTTTATATATTATTATATATAATAAATTAGCATTAAATTAAAATCACAATTTAAATTTAAATTAAGATTAAAATTAAAATTAAAATTAAAATTAAAATTAAAATTAAAATTAAAATTAAAATTAAAATTAAAAATAAAATTAAAATTAAAATTAAAATTAAAATTAAAATTAAAATTAAAATTAAAATTAAAATTAAAATTAAAATTAAAATTAAAATTAAAATTAAAATTATTTTTAAAATTAAAATTAAGTAAATGGGAAAATAATAGCTAGTATAAAAGTGTTAAATTAATTTAAGTAAGCAAATAAAGCTAAATGTTTTAAATAGACCACATTAATTCGGTAAAAGACATTTAAAAAAATTAAATTAAAAATCGCCAAATTATGAAAATATATAGTGTGGAAAGAGTTAATTATTAAAAGAAAAATGTTTAAATTAAAAATGTATTTGAACTAAAAGCCTCACTACTGGCAGTTACTCATGAAGCTAAGAAAACCAAAAAAAATTAATTTCCACAATTCAAATGTCCCAATGCCGCTTGTTATAACAGATTGCAACAACACTTCAACGAAGCCAGCGCACAGATATTCACAACAGCATTTACCACTCCACGACTCTTCCCTTTAATTTGCAACTGAATTTGCTCAAATTATTATTCCTCTCTGTCATATATTGTAAATATTATTTATTTTTTGCTCCTTTTTCTCTCTCCTACTACAAACTTTTTTTCAGCCATATTTTATGCTGGCCATCAATCATTTACAGGCTCGCGTTCTCGCGCCGTTGTAAGATAGCGCAAAAAAAATTGAAAATTAATTGATTGCCCTTCGGTCAGAAATTAAAAAATATAAAATGAAATTGATTTGTTCAAAAAAAAAAAAAAAAGAGGAAACGAAAAATTGCACTGTTTGGCTCAACTCTCAGCTGCCATCGAAATCGCTTGAAAAATTACGCTGCATTGATAGCAAAATTTTTCTTATTTTTTTTTTTTGTTTCATAACAACATTTTCATATGCAGCAACATGCGTGGCCATGCAAATTGCTGGCACTTGTTGTTGTTTGTATGAGTATGTGGCGCATCATCACGTTGGTCATGTAAACAAATTTCGATTAAATTGGCGGCGATCATTAAACTGGTTGCCATGTAATGGTTTATATACTTTGCTCTTGATTGCCATGCACATAAATAAATGTTAACCCTCATACTCATGTATGTATATGTATATGTACATATTTTTAAAGTCCACATTGCAGTAATTTAGCTGCGAACTTTCATTTCACGCAGTTTTAGCCTCCAGCTTTGACATATTTCACTGCCAAATTTTTATATAACCACTCGCTGATTCATTCGCCTTTTGTGATTTTAATGCATGAAAACTGTTTCACAAGAACAAAAAACTATTTTTTTTCTACTGAAATCAAAATTGGGTATATTTATCATTCTTATTTAATTTAGAGCAAAATTATGCCTCCAAATTTGGTCTCCAATTAAGAGGAATTTCTAATAGAAAAGAAAATAATAGATCAAAGACAAAATAAGTTTAATACTAGAACGCCCGATCGTGGAGGCCACGCTTTGAGCCCGCCAAAAGTTTCCTTCAACAATTTTGA